CAGTATTACTAGAAATTGGATTTACAGTGTAGAATGGATTCCTTGGGGCTCTCTGTAGGGATTCTGGGAATCATATCCAACTACAGTGGTGCTGTCTGATGAGCTCCCACTTATCTTCTCACCCCTGGGTATGTGCCATGTCTGGGGTAGTGATGTTTTGGCAACATCTCTGGGAACCGATTTCATATTGGTTGTTTTCATGTGAGCCAAGCAGTACAGGAGGCCAGTAATGTGTCCACATGAAGCAGATAATCCAATGGCACATGAACATTTGCTGGAATCTCTGTCATAAGTTGGCCCTTCTTTCAAAACTATCTAGAATTTTTAACACATTATATAGTACTAAATATCAGCATGCATATGCATTATGAAATACATAATTATTAAAACAAGTAATGTTGCTTAATTGCCTTTCAATTTTTACCTCTAAGTCATGTGGCGACTCATTTTTTCTCTGTGATCGGAAGGCACGAGCTCGGACCAGACAACCATCACTCATCTTATACACTGCAAAGATATTTAGTAATAATATTAAATTATGTGTATAAAAAAATATAATATCATTTAGTCTTTGTAAACTCCTTGTCAGTTACTCAGGTAGTTGGAACAAATGTATACTTATATTTATGGGGGAGGCCCTTACAATCTTGGTATAATATTGTGTTTATCTACACTAGGCCTACATCAATCTATAAAAAAAATTACATAAATTTTTTTTTACAGTTTTCATATATGACATACTTTTTAGAGTAAATCGATAAATTTCTACATAATCAACTGAACTTGACTCCACTAAAATGGGATAACAAAATCACGGGACCTACCGGTCTCCGTTTTTTGTACTATACGCCGAGCATCTGACCCGCCCCCTTCATGGGAAAATTTTTTCATGTTTACGTACCTCTGATGTCTGTGATGTATTTCTCGCTAAAATACTTATATCCTTCGGATATCTCTTTGGTACCTAAACTAGTAGAGTTCTTCTTTATGTCTTCGACAAAAGAGAACGAAATTGTCGGCACTAAGCTAAGATCGCTTGTAGCAGACGCTGTCAACTTATTATCCGCCATAATTGTAGTACTTCGATACGTACGACCTTAGCCTCGTTTTCGATGCGATATGAATATTCATTATGATCTCATTAAGAACGGAGTATACTAATAATTACATTTGTTTTTTATTACATTGAAAAAAAAAATAAATTGCAAACTACCTGTCATGTTTGTGAGACATGACACTCTACAAATCGATTGTTGGAAAAAAAAAAAATGAAATTATTATATTTAATTATACAAAATCAAATTAATCTTGATAACTTAATATCAAGTTCATTTTAAAAATAAAAGGCTGGTCATCCATTAAGTATGTATTTTGATGGACATAAGTTACAATTAAGAGAGTGTACAGAGATCTTTAATTTTTATGCCCAATTTCCAGGAGATATAGATAACACCTGCTTGATCAGAAATGCCCTATCAGCTTCCCACACTGAACTCATTAATTTATCTTCAACTGGATGCATGTTCACTCATTACTCCCAAGGGACAAATAGATTTTCGCTTACGTATGTCATTTTTTTGAAAACAAAGAATTTTTCCTTTCAATTTGTTACAGAGCTTATATTGAAAAAAAAAAAGAACTGTGTAATCTTGATGCAACATTATTTTTTAAATAAGGTTACTGCATGACTCTTACATTTGTAGGGACTATCTATCAAAAAACTTTTTTAAGGCATGTCACTCGTGAAATTTGTTATATCAAGGATTTTTTGAGAAGTATATTTTGGATAAGTACTCATATAGTATGACTCAAAATCGCAGAGAAAATGGGGGATCAGTGTGCATCTAACAGCTACGGTACAATTAAGTTGACCTTTTTGCACTTAAATTGTAACTCTTTGGTGAATCACTTTAACCGTTATCATATTTTATAAGATGTAACCATGGCAATAAACATAATCTTATTTTACGTAAAATAGTTTGAATAATATTTATCATTGAACAAATCATGCAAATTAATGCGCGTAATTTATTGTGTGACCTTTTTGCACTAAAAAAAGTCTCATATTTGGGGTATTGAAAATCTAAATAGGCAATGGAATATTTTCTTGTATCAAACTTTTTACGACTTAAGTGCTGATCGGTCAAAAGTATCGAGTAGTTTAAAATAATGAAAGAAAAAGTTCGGGTCAGTGATGTAAATTTTGAAATATTGGTCAAAATATGCGATTTTCAGGCAAAAAACTGTGTAAATTTTATCTCGACTTCCTTAATATATATTCATTTCTTGGCAATGTTTGTTGAGCGAAGGTGTAAATTTTGTTATAAAAATATAAATTGAGACCTATATTTAATATTCCAGGCTTATCATAACGGAAAATATTCTCTGAGTAAAAGTATGTGAGGCTAAAGTTCCAAGATATTAAATTTAATAAATGTGTAGATTTGCAGAATTTTCTGCTAAATATCCTTCCGCCACAAGAAATAGTCCCTCAGAAATCTTGCTTCTTTGTGAATTTTTGAGCAGTTTTTTAATTGAATGTTGAACATTTTACATTGTTTAATTTAAATTTGTTATAAAGATTGAATTGTAATAAATAGTTTTTAAGTAAGAGGTTCTGAATGAAATTTTCTAAAAGGCTGACGAGTGACATACCTTAATACTTGATTTTATTTATAGTTTGAATGAGTAGTTTTAAGCTGCAGTTCACATTTTTGTACCACGCAACACTGTTAAGGCGTACTTCGAAGAAATCAACAGAATATATACGTGCATAAATACATACCTTTTTAGACTGAATTTATTTTTGTAAAGGTACTATATTATCTTATGACTTTAACATTCTTTGAATAACATTGTATACCCCGCTCTGTACTGAATTTGGTTTGGTCACGTTATTTGATAGTCACGTGATAAATGCATGTAATGTGTACTGTATGTAGGTCACAAACAAATTTCAATATCGCAAGGGCATACCCTAGTTAAAATTAAAAATTAAAGTAATAGATTGTTTCAACATAACTTGTAGTTTATGGAAAGTGCTGCTGCCTTAAATAGAATTCGCATTTTATTAGCGTAAATGTGCACTTCTTCTAATGCAGGAGAGTAAGATACCATAGTAACTGACAACACTTGCACAGGTCAGTGCAGTATACAAACAAACACAAATGCACGTAACTGCCATAAAATGTAAACAAAGGTGATGTAAGATAAACAGCACGAACACGCGTCGCCTTTCCACACCGATACCTACAAATACACGTAACTGCAATTCAATGTAAAAAAGGTGATGCAAGATACCAGCACGAACACGGGTCGCCATTCAACGCCGATACTCTTGACAAAAAAAGCAATCAGGTGTACGAATGCGAAGAGTATACCCCGGTGCTGGTATCTTAGATAGTAATATCGAAAATGGCGTATGCCTACTTATGAGTCGTGTTCAGCTTTAAACGATTTGTTAAAAGGAATTTGTCCGCCATATTTGATTATTCACTCGCTATATCTGAGGGCCCCTATTTAAGCCGCCCACATAGACACTGTTCAGTGTAATAAGTTGTCACCGTGTATAAAGGTTGGGCAGAGCCCACCATTTGATACTTCATATCCTATATGGTGGTCAATCACCCATGTCGTATATATTGTTTACTGACATATGGGAGATTAAAAAAAATCGTGCATTATCATTTGTAGTCTTCTTCGAATCCGCTGCGTTGTTTTAAATGTCAGAGATTTGGGGACGGACAAAATAACTGTAAAGGCGTAGAAACTTGTTTCAAGTGTGATGAAGAGGGGCATGACGGCAAAAGCTGTCAGAAAAAACCAAAAATGCAAGAATTGCAAAGGGGATCACATGGCCTCTTTGAGGCAATGTCCTCTTTGGATAAAAGAAAAAGAAATACAGAAAGTAAAAACAGAAGAGCGAATACCTTATCCAGAGGCAAAGAAACTTGTAAATATGTACAGTGTTCCAAAACCTAATCTGTCCTCGTATGCAGCAGTTCCAAAGACATCCTCAAAGAGGGATGTGTCGACACAGGTCAGTGAAGATGACATTTCTCAACAAAATTCTGTAACTGTGGTTGCTTTGTCATCTAATGACAAAGCAAAAATCGACATAATTGCTTGCATCTGCGGGCCCTGCAGCCGCGGCTGCACAAAAACCCGTAGCTGCAGGTAATTCAAGATCATCTGGGAGACAAAATAAGTCTCCTTTGAAAAGTACTCCAAAACAATCTAGTGATCGGATACCCAAAGGGGCGAATGATCCCTTTGCGTTACATAATAAATTCGGGATCTTTCAGGAAATGGATTTTACTCGATCTCAGTCCTCTTCCTCAAGAGACAGCAGTCTTTCCCCCAAAAAGAACAAGGGGAGGATATCCCCCATTACCCATAATAAATAAAAATGAATCATTCTACACTTATTCAGTGGAATTGTCGAGGTTTTAAAGTTAATTTTAATGAATTGTCCCTACTAATTCAGGACCATTGCGCTGTAGCAATATGTTTACAAGAAACACATTTAAAAGAAACTGATAAGATTAATATTAAAAACTATATCATGTATAACCATTATACTCCAACTGAGAGAGCCACTGGTGGTTCTACTATAGCAGTACACAATAAATGCTTCCACAGCCAAATATCTTTGAAAATAAAACTCCAAGCATGATATTTTATGCTAGTAAAATTATTTTAAGTTAAGTTTCATGTATTGTATGCAAGAGTGTAAATCCCCACTTTGTGCCTCTTTATCAGTAAACCCGTGGGGACACCCCCCCCCCCCCCAGTAATTCTATCCTTTTGAGATAAGCGAACTAGCATCATTCTATCCACTGCTATTGTAAAGACAAGACGGCCAATCATTTGCTTAAAATATTTTGGATTAATAGAGAATTATGACTTCTCGAGAGAGGTAATTAATTTTTATTTCGTGTTCCTCTTTGGATATTTTCCTGTGTTGTTGTCGGTGTGGTGAAAACGAAAGTAGACAAACAATGGCTCCCATTCACGTAGTGATTATAGGACATTCCTTTATTCGTCGTTTGCAGAATTTTATTGCTCTTAACACTGAGAACGACAATTTGAGACTTTATAGACATTTATTCGATGTACAGTTTCTTTGTGAAGGAGGTCTAACTGTCGATCGCATGGCTCACAGACCCAAATTTACGACATTTGATCCGCCTCCCCAGATGGTTTTTCTACAGGTCGGAGGAAATGACCAAGATAATAACAAGATAGCCGTAGACACCTTGGTGAGGCAAATCCAGAGTTATGCTAATTACTTAGTTCTGGGGTGTGGAGTGCGGCATGTCGTTATCGGCCAAATACTGCGACGCAACAGGAGGGGCGATTACAACTCCCGGGTTGTCGAGGCTAATTGCTGTCTACAGAACTGGGCCTCCTCTCTTGACCATATCTCATTTCACCAGCACCATGGTTTCTGGAAGGACTTATCATTCCTGAGCAGAGATGGCGTACACATCAGGTGTTCCCGCACCGACAGCAGCCAGATGAGGAAATATCTTCAAAGTGTAAAGAGGGCCGTCTTGCGAGCTTCTCGCTTCATTGGGTAATCATGTTCTATTTATACGCATGGGGCAATTAATGCTTGCTCCATGCTGTTCATTTCATATAGCAGTAGATATCATTCATAGCATTATAAATTACTTGAATATGCTATATAAACACATAGATCAGCTAGCTGTAGAATGCTATAATTTTAACAGTTTAGGTCTTGTGCAAATAAATCTAAATTAAGTTTATAAGTTACCAATATTGTCTGCTTACTATACACAAATTGAGGTCTAGGTTTGGTTTATGTCAGTTTATCATGTGTTGATTCTATCAAAATTTATTTAATGGCTAACTGTCATTCATATCCAGGAATATAGGTTTGTGGGTACATCTGCCATTTTCAGTTGGGTAAATGTTACCTTTTCTTATTCATTTATTAAATATTCACAACTGAAATTATATTTATTTCCTTGCACAATGTGTATAGTTTACTTGGTTAGATTACCACTCATCATAGCAGTAGTTCATTGAGTTAACATGCTAGTTACAGTACATGTATGTTTGGCTAATTCAGAGCTCCAGATAAGGTGCGTATTTGCAGAATTATGCATTGAATTTTTCAAATTACGCATTAAAATTTAAAACAAGGCGTACAATTATGCATTAGCCATCATAAATAAGCATTACACTACGAAAGTACTGCGTACAATGGATTGAATGATACAGGTACGATTTAACTAAGGTCAGCTCAGTGTTTAATTTTTTTGATTTATAAGCGTATTCGGAATAACCTAGGCCAACTTACGGTTCAAGAGAAAAATTTGAATATTAAATACTCGTACTTTGTCTGAAAATATCACAGATTTCCACTGTTCATATAACATCCAAATTTTTTATATTTGTCAAAATTGCGCAAAACACGCATGGTGTCTAATTTATCCTTTATAACTGTTTATTAAACAATTCTTGTATATTTACCATTTTCTGTAGCAATAATATCAACTAAAGTCCGCCGACAACCTTTATTAATTGTATGAAAATAATTTTTTTTTTGCTTTCCACATGATCATGTGCTATAAATAGCACCACGCCACTTTTAATGCAAACGGGAAGTAACTCTAAAACTTTTACCTCGATCGATGCCAACAATTTATATAGCAAAATTTAATATATATTTTTTATTATAAAAAAAACAAACAAACAAAATGGAAATCAACGGGACTGGACATTTTTAGAGGGGCAGGTGGGATGAGAATCCAAAGAATTATTTAATTGGCCAAAGGAAGGATATCTTTTTCGGTAACTCTTGCTACGGTCAATATAGGCTTAATCTGTGTACCCGTGGTAACTCTACCTACCGTATGGTCTTTCTGGTGGAAAAAAAACCCGAAATGTTTCTCAGTTATTGCTAAAAGCTGACAAAATTTTTAAAATTTCATTAACCTAGTTATTGATAAATGCAGAAACTGTCCTTTTTTTTTTTTACATTCCACTTTCAAAAACACTTATTTCGATAAAAGCTAAAAATCACATAAGATGTCAAAAGAGCAATAGATTAGCAAAATAATCTTTGATTATTTTGCTGAAAAGCAAAATCTGCATTGATTTGAAAATCAGGGAGTAAATACACTTTGAGGTAAAAAATTATCTGGAGCTCTGCGGCTATGTTTTATAATTGGTGGTGTCATATTACATGTCTTTATATTTAGTTTCAATGCTACATGTATTCCTATTTCATTAGGGGTACGTACCACAATTGACATCTTACTAGGTAGCATTGGGTTTTGTTTTGGATGACCATTTGTTGTTCATACAGTGCTGCCATGCAATTTAAAAATTTATTCATATTTATCAGGTAACATTTGCACTTGTCTAAATGGCCATTTGTCATTCACCGAGTGATGCCACTTTCTTTTTACCATGTACCATTTGTACTTGGTTTGAATGGCCATTTGTCATTCATTGCTGCTAGCAGGTTTGAACTTGTATAATTTTGACCATTTGTCAAAGTACATTGTGCATGTTCTGGTACCATTTGTACCATTGTTTGTTATCATGTGCCATTTGTACATGATGGGATGACCATTTGCCATCCTTTTCCTGCTAGCAGGATTTTTTGTGTTGAACTCTGACCATTTGTCAGGTTTTCTATTGGCATCACTCACTTGTGCTTATACTACCTGTTTGTCAGACATGTATTTCAGTTTGAAGTTGTTGCTAATTAATACTTGAGGGCTAAGAGAAACCTCTTCTTCTCAAGCATATATGTCAGTATATAACATATAGATTTGACATACAGAACTTTACAGTGGTGCTGTAAGTTGGAAAAAAAAAAGCTTTTCATTATATGTCTCAATTTCAGCAATGCCACCCAAGAAAAGGCAAGAGCCTGCAACTAGTGGGCAAACTCCTAAGAGACAGAGGAAACAAAAGTCGCAGAATGACAAATCGCTGCCCACGATTGACTATGACAATCTGGCGGACGCCATACTAAAGAAGTAGGGCCAAATGACCGGAACAGACAGCAGGAAAATTCCAGTATCCCCTGGGCCCAGTAAAGACTCGGACATGCCACAGCAAGCGCCTGTTGGGAATAGTTTGCCTGACACAACTGACACAGCAGTGAATACAATCAATGCTTGAGGTGCAGCCCAACAATCGTTTCCTTCTTACTTTGGATAAAATCTTTGGGGGTGAGTCAATTGTTGGTAGTTCAGTGGATGATAACAATGTTACACCACTGCAGTTATCGGGGGGTTTACCATTGGGGGCAACAATTCCCTTGCGTGTTAAACAAAAAATCTGGGCTAACCAGTATATCGACTTAAGGGTGTTACTGCCAGAACACAAACAGGAAACTGTGTCTGTACAAATTGATCAAGGATCAATCAAATTAAATGCCAAACAGTCAGGGAAACCTCCATTATCCATTTATCAATGGACAAATGCCTTTTTGACTTTCATTTCAATTTATATTGAGTCAAATTCTCAGTCAGCCACAAATTTGCTTAAGTACATGTCAACAGTCCGCCACCTCCATGCCTCCAATGGTGATTCAGCCTGGAGGTTATATGATGAGCAGTTTAGGAAGTTGCGTGAGGTGTCAGACCTGCCTTGGCAACAACCCCTTAATGAATTAATTTTAAGAGTTACGACAATGTCAAAGTCACATAACCAACAATTTTCACGCAGCAGAACATCAAACAATCAGTCCTTTCGGGGTCCAATCAGGTTTTGCTACACTTACAACAATGGCCAACAATGTACATCATCAAACTGCCCATACAGACACTTATGCTCAGTGTGCAAAGACACACATCCCCGAATTCAGTGCACAAAGCAAAAATCAGACACTCAAAATGCAACCAATTTTCGACCCAATCAGGAAAACCTAAAACTACCAACCCCAGTACAAGCACATCTTCTTAAGCATTACCTACAAGGTTCTGACCCTTTTCTTTCTCATTACTTAGTTCAAGGTTTTAAGTCTGGGTTCAGTTTAGGCTGTTCAGCATATCCAAAGCCACGTCTCTGTCGTAATCATTCATCCACCACCCAACATGCTGATTATGTTCTAGATAAACTTCAAAATGAAATTGACTTAGGAAGAATAGCTGGTCCTTACCCTTCCCCACCTTTTCAAAATTTTGTTTGGTCCCCATTGGGTGTAGAACCCAAGAGTACACAAGGGAAATATAGACTTCTACATGATCTTTCATTCCCATCAGCTGATTCAGTAAATTCTTACATCTCAGAAGAGCATTCAAAGATCAAATATGATACAATTGATACAATCATTTCCCTTGTACTGAAATTTGGAAAAGGGTCACTGATGGCAAAATCTGATATTGAAGATGCTTTTCGAATTATTCCATTGCACCCAGATAGTTATCATGCTTTGGGTTTAACATGGGCAGGTCAGTATTATTTCGATAAGTGTCTTCCCATGGGGGCCAACAGTTCTTGCAAAATTTTTGAATCATTCAGTTCTGCTCTTCAGTGGATTATGGTATCGAAATTTAACTTACAGGGTATGTCTCACATGATAGATGATTTCTTTTTTATTGGACCTAATAATTCCAGTAAGTGCATACATGATCCTGAAAATTTTCTAGCTCTCTGTTCCACTTTAGGTGTGCCCATCAAAAGGGATAAAACTGTCCTACCTTGTAAGGTTATCACCATTTACGGCCTCGAAATAGATTCAGAAGCAATGGAATGTAGATTACCATCTGACAAACTTGAAAAGTTAAGACGTATGTTAGAGAATTTTTCTCACAGGAAAAAGGTGACCGTAAAGGAATTGCAGTCCTTGTTAGGTTCCTTGAGTTTTGCTTCTTCTGTCTTAAGTCCAGGTCGAGCTTTCCTGCGCCGTTTATTTGACCTTTTATGTGGGCCTCAAAAGCCATCTTATTACAAAATAAGACTCAATAAAGAAGCCCGCGCAGACTTGCATGCATGGTCTATATTTATCAACAAATTTAATGGGAAATGCCTCATTAATAATAACCAACATATTTCCTCTGATAATTTGCGCATGTATACAGATGCATCAGGAGTGATTGGTTTTGCTGGGGTGTTTGGAGCGAATTGGTTTGCTGGTAGATGGCCAGCTAAATGCATGGACTATCACATTACTGTTAAGGACTTTTTTCCCATTGTATTAGCTCTTGAAATTTGGGGTAGTACTTTAAGAAACAAAAATGTCCTTTTCCTGACAGATAATGAAGCAGTAGCTTATATCATTAATCATCAATCCTCTAAAGACCATACAATTATGCGCTTGGTGCGGCGCTTAGTCCTTACCTGTTTACAGTTTAATATAAGATTTGAATCGGAACATCTTTCGGGTGGCGCAAGGAAACCCTAACAAAAAAGTACCATAGTAAAGTTGAGTAAAGTTTCATAGTAAATCAAAGTATTTACTATAGTTAACTATAGTAAACTATAGTAAACTATAGTTAACTATGGTAAATTTTTATTAGGGAATGCTTGAAGCCTTTCCTTTTTTGGCCATATTTTGGAGGCCACCTATTTTGTCAATTTATATATGTTATGT